AAGGCCTCGTGGGAACCCACTGCTTTTTTTGACGGGCCAGGCATGCATAGTGCTGGCCCGAGTTTAGGCGATGCGGGTGGGCTGCTGTCCAGATGGGGGATGAAAGCCTCCCTTTAAGAGCTGCATATGGCCCCCTCCCAGGTCCTATCCAATCCGTAGGCCGCTCTGAGAGACATGCGCTGCTTCGGGGGCTTCAGCTGTTCCCTGGTCTTCGTGTTGCCGTTTCGGATCTCCTTGGGCCGTGCGAGAGGGGGCTGGATGGTCTGAGGCACATGCCTCGGCTACGGCCACCCACGCTGACATGTGGAGGCATGTGTTTAGTGTTGTTCGGAGCCGCCCCCCCCCCAGAGACCTCCAGCTTTCGAGTGGGTGCCAGCGCATCTCACGATCGAAGAGTTCCTCCTGCATGGAGGGTGGCCAGTGTCGTGGTGGTTCGGCACTAGTTGGGCGGATTTCTTTGCTAAGCGCGGTGCTGCTTCACATAAGTTGCAGACACTCTGGTGGACTTTTGGTCTGGTCAGTTGTCGATCGCACGCAATGATGCCAAGTTCTTTGGATGGGCAGTGGCCCAGCAAGCTGCCCATATGGATATCGTTGGCGAGCAGCTGGATGCTGTTCGTGAGCTCCCGAGGCGTTTCGTTGGCGGGGGTGATCCTCTTTTGAGATTTCAGGAACACGATGTCCACATGCACGGTGGTATGATGGTCTGCCGGTCGTGCCTTGCCAGGGCTAAGACTGCGACCACGGGAAGGCAGTTAACCATGGGCAGCGCTCGTGTGCGTGGCCCCTCCCCTTTGCAGAGAGAGAGGGAGAGAGCCCGTCTGGCGTTTGGCCCTGGCGGGCTGCATGCCTCTGCCACCCCTCTGGCCAGACCCGAGGCCATCCAGGTGGCGATCTCGGGAGCGTGTGCGTTCCTGGATCCTGGTCCTGGTCCTGTGGTGGCCCTGGGCCCTGGTTCTTGTCTGGACGCCCCTGGGATTGAGCCACAGGGTCCTCGGCCCGAGGAGGAGGGGGAGGAGAGTGGTTTTGAGTGTTTCACTGCTCTGGGGCACACGATGGAGCAGGTGTGGCCGTACATCTCTTGTACTGCGTGTGGTTCCTATTGTGCTCATCGTTTGTGGCCTAAGCTGCGCGCAGTATGTAAGCCACCAGCGTCTGGTTCCCTGCACCAGATTGTGAGGAGGTCTCTCGCGAAAATCCGTGAGGGACTGCACCCCAAGGCGGGGGTCAAGCTGGAGGGAGGATCCCCAGCTGAATCGTTGTCGTTTCTGTTCGGGGCGCAGTCGGGCAACCTGGCCGCGCCTCTCGTACTCGATACCTCGATACCCCTCTGGCTGGCCCAGGCTCGGAAGCCACGCGGGGCCGACCCCCTCCCTCCATCCGTTGGGGCCGGCGAGGTGCGCCGCCCTCGTGGCCTGCGGAGGCGCGCCGACGTGCCGAGCTCCACGGCACCTCCTGGCCCCTCCGCGCAGCACCGCTGGGGGTGTCCCCTCCCCCGTGCCATTCTTGTGAGCGTTTTCTTGGTCGGCGTTTCGACATTGGGCGGAAGGAGGGGGGGGAGGTGACTTGTGGGCGTTTTCTCAGTCGGCGTTTCGACATTTGGCGGAAGCGGGGGGGGTCTGGCTCCAGGCCTCTGCTTGGTGCGACTGCGTGCAGCAGTTCGCCCTAGGGGGGAGGCTCCACCTGCTCGACACAGGCGCCAAAAACAGCCAAGTTCTACTGCAGAGTGGGGGGAGGGGGGGGGGGGGGGCGGAAGGCCCGCGCCGATCGGCAAAACCATGAATAAGAAAACGACGACCTTCGGTGTCGTGCGCCGATTGTTTCGCAAGCTCCTCGAAGGTCCTCGCCGAGGAGAAAGGCACACGTCCGAGCGACGCCAAGTCCAAAAAGGTTTACAATGCTCTCCGGCCCAACCCGCCAGCCACCCCGAAATCCGCGGACAGGTGCACAGCGCACGCTCGCAGACGGAGAAGATCACCCAAGTTGGCCTCCAAGACGGCTCAAAAAGCTTCAGGAGGCTTGCAGGCTCGCCCGAGATGCCTCCAAGACGACCTAAGATGGGCCCAAGACGGCCCAAGATGGGCCCAAGACGGCCCAAGACGGCCTCAAGACGGCCCAATAATTATCCAAGATGTCCTAAAAGGCCTCTAAGAGGACCTCCAGGAGGGTTCAAAAGGCCAACATCATGGTTCAATTGATTTTTGCTAAATGTCTGCCTCCTCGTCTCTCTGGCTTCCGTCAATCCCAGACGGTCCGAGAGGTCTCTCAGATGCCCCAACACGGCCTGATGGACCTCTAAGATGGCCCCAGACGGCCCCAAAAACGACCCAACAGAGCCTCAAGATGGCTCAAGAGGCCCCCACGATGGCCTCACGACGGCACTTGAGGGCCCCAAGACGGCCCAACTTGCTTCAAGAGGGTTCCAAGACAGCTCATAGAGGCCCCCAAGACGGCCTCCGAATGCGATAGACGGCCACATAGCGCCAGACGGCCCTGGAGAACCCCAAGATAACCCAAGACCCAAGAGTACCCCAGGAGACCCCCAAGAAGACCCAAAAAAGGCCCGAAAAGAGCCCTGAGGATAGCCCCAAGACCGTCCATGAGGGCCCCTCCCTAGTGTTCCCCTCGTGGGTTCCCCACAGTAGATGGGAGAAGACGCAGTCCACAAACATGGCCGCACTTTCGCGCAACGCTTCACTGCACAAAGCGCTTCCAGAAGGCAGAGGGCGGCGATGATTCGCCGCAGGCGTCTTCGATAGTCTGCGAAGCCTGTCAGGAGCATATGACTAGGCAAGCCCGACGAGCAGCAAATAAATGCCATCTCCCTCCCTTCCTCCCTCCCTCGTCCGCCTCCCTCCTCCTCCTCCTCCTCCTCCTCCTCCTCCTCCTCCGCCTCCTCCTCCTCGCCAGATCGCCAGAGCGAGGCACGCATGCACACGGCCTGGATCCGCCATGCCAGTCCAGCCGGTAGCCAGACGCGATCAAGTGCCGGCCCATCCGAGGCGCCGACTCCATGCCAGGCACCACGCGCTCCACGTAGAAGTCTGCCTGCGCGGGGCCCCGAGCTCGGAAAGAGGTGCCTGGAGGGAGGACAGCGAAGAGGAGCAAGAGCAGCAGCAGCAGCAGATGCATCTGGAGCTCTGCGGAGCTCCTTCGTAAGCCTTCGGAGGAGAAGAGAAGGAGGAAGCCCAGTGCGATGCATCAACAATGATGCAAAATACGCACTCCCGTCCAAGTCCCACCGACAGGTACGTCCGCAGAGTTGGAGCACCTAGGAAAGAATGGGACCGACGTGTGCTGCCCGACGCAATCCGACTGGCCGGTGACAGCGGCTGGCTCCGAGATGCAGTGAGTCACGTCTCCACGCGGCGCCACAAAGTGCGCCATGCTTGCTTTCATAGCTGGTGAGCCAATATGCACGCCCATGGGCTGCCACAGCCTACGGCACGCACGGACGAACGAAGGTCCCGAGTCCCATCACACGTCCTCCTCCCCCTCCCCCTCCTCCTCCTCCTCCTCCTCCTCCTCCTCCTCCTCCTCCTCCTCCTGCTCCTCCTCCTCCGCCTGCTCCTCCCGAGCGCCCCTCTCCACGACGCGAAGCACAAGCACCCCCCCCTGAAAAAGGCGAGCGGCCTGGTAGGCCTGCCCTGCCTGTCAGGGCACGGGGCCTGCACCGAGAGAGGGCACCGCCACGCCGCGGAGTCGTGCCGCCTGGGAAGCGAGGCGGGGATTTATCCATATCCACCGCCTGGGAACCGACGTCCTTGTGCCCCAGCGTGCGGTGGATATGGATATATCTCGGCCCCCGGGGGCCCGAATATGTCCATATTCACCGCCTGCCGAGGCTCCGAAAACTGACCCTCCAGGCGGTGGATATGGATGAATTCCCGCCTCGGAGCTGGCACTCCCAGACTTTTTGTTGCGTCGGCGGCTAGGCTTAGCTCGGGCGAGTCCCCCTACAGGGGGATTTTGGGGCGAAAACTTAAAAATAGTCTAAAGAATTCTCCCCGAATGCCCAAAAATGGTATAAAAATAGTCCCCAGACGATGTGTGAGTCTTTTTGAATATTCCCCCTGTAGAGGGACAGGCCCGACGTAAGGCTAGGCAGGGGTCGTCTGCGCTGGCGGATGAAGCTGACTAAACGGGGCCACCGTTGTCGAGAACTGGCCACCATGCCAGAGGAGGGGAGGAAGGCAGAGCGGGCGGCCGCGGGGAAGGGGAAAAAGGGGGCGAAGGCCGCTCAGGGGGACGGGTCACGCCCACAGCGGCGGCGGCAGGCGCGGCCGGCCCCGCCGGCGGGAACTGAGGCACTCCTTAACATGCGATGTCTTGATTTTTCCCACACGGGGTCCCCGGAAGTCCCGACCCTCTCCCCGGGGCCGGCGTTTATGCCAGAGCCGCTTTTTGTGACCGTCCCGGGGGAAGGCGAGAGCCCCAGAAGCCGAAAGTACGGCCAAAGACCGCCCATCGTGCTTGCCTCGCGTGGCGCGAGCACTTCTGGGATCTACTTGGACCCCTCTTGGGCGACGAAGAAGAGAAGGGTCTTACGCACGATGGCAAAGCGACCATACGCGGTGGCTGACGCGGGCCGCCGGAGTGGCATGCTACATTGGAAACGAGAGCGCATACGCGCGACCATGCACATGCAGCTTACGCGCGAAATGTCGGCGCAATCCCTCAGATCTGACGCTGCAAAAAAAATCGCCACGTCGCAGCTAATCACCGCCAGAGTCCCAGACCACATCTTTCTGAGTCCGTTCTCGAGCTGGCTCCTGGGGGCCTGAAACTGGGCGGGAACGGCCGGCTCCAAAAATTTGGGGTCCCTGGATTGCAGGGGCCCTGGGACACACAAATAAATAGACACAAATAACAGGATTCCCCATATGTTTCTATATTTTCTTGGTTTTTGTCTTCCCCACCACTTCCCATATTTTCCTATATTTTCTAGGGAATCGACGATTAATTGATTAATTGTGTCTGTGTGTTTTTCCCCTCCTGAGTTACGCGCGAACGCTGGCGCCATCGGCCCTGCGTTCCTGCGCCGCTCCTCTGGCAGGCCCAGAGAGCTTCGGCGCCGCCCGCCTCGTCCTTGCCCTCGTCCTCGTCCTTGCCCTCATCATCTTCCTTCTCCGTTTCCTCCTCTTCCTCCTCTTCCTCCTCTTCCTCGTCGTCGTCGTCGTCGCCGTCGGCGTCGTCGTCGTCGCCGAGCCGTCCTGGGCGCCCTCGTCGGCCGCGCCGCTCCCAGGCTCGAGGTCCACGACGGGCGCCGGCGGTGCGCGTCGCCGCGGGGCCTCGCGCGCGCGCACGCCGCACGCCGCTCGCGGGGGCGGAGGGGGCCCCCGCTCCAGGTCTGAACCTGACCGGACTTTGTCTGTTTTTTCGTCTTGCTGTTCGCTCTTCCTCGTTCTGCCTTCGCTTCGACCGGAATGCAGAGCAGGACGAAGAAATAAAACGGCCCACGAGATGGCCAAAAAACACCGCTTGGGTCCAGCCCGGCGCCAGGGCGTGAGCAAGGTGCGCGGGGAGCGCATCCTGGGGAGGTCGGCGACGGGGCCGGCCGGAGCCGCTCAGAGGTGGCACGGAGTGGTCCGTCCAACGGGGTCTGGCTACGCGCAGGGCTGGACCCAGGCAAGAGTGACGTTTGGCGCGCGGCTCTCGGGAGCCCGCGGGCAGGCCAGTGATGGGAGGACCCCTCTGGGTCCGCACCAAAGGCCACTCCAGCGCAGGGTCACCCCTGCGTGTGACAAAGAGAAGCCCTGCTCCAGGGCCGCCAAGGGACCGGCCGGGGACCTCCTCCTCCTGCCCCTCCTCCTCCTCCTCCTCCTCCTCCTCCTCCTCCTCCTCCTCCTCCTCCTCCTCCTCCTCCCTCCTCTCCCTGGGGGGGATGCAGGGGGAGGCGGAAGGGGGGGGGGGGCAGAGGCCCCCCCAGACATGCTCGCGTCGTGTTTGGCCGCTCGCGGCCTCCAGGGGCCCTCGCCGAGCCCTGGGGCCGCCCGGGACGAAAGAGGCTGCCCCGGGGAGAGCGTCGGGACTTCCGTGGACCCCGATCTCAAAAACAAAAAACAAAACTGGGCCTCCCCTCCTCGGGGAGGCGTGCGAAAAGCTCGTCCTCCGTCCCTCCTCCCTCCTCCCTCCTCCGCCTCCTCCTCTTCCTCCTCCGCCTCCTCCTCCATCCCTCTTCCTTAGAAATAACTAATCCCTGTCGCACCCCGCGACGTGTCGGTAGGGCAGGCCGGGCGTTTCGCCTCAGACTTCCTCACCACTTATGGTCCTGCAGCTTGAAATTCGTAACGGCTCCACGGATGGAGGGCCAGTCGTTTCCAAAATGTGGTTCACGCCTTATCGCCGCGCACATTCGTCGTCAAGTTCGCAACAGTTTCACAGATGGAGGGCTGTTCTCTTCAAAGTGTGGCTCTCGCCTAAGCGCCGCGCACACTCGTCGTAAAAGATTGCAACAGCCTCACGGGTGGAGGGCAAGTCCTTTTTCAAAAGGGCCCCAAGAAGCCTAAGGAAGCCTCCAAGAGGCCTCCGACAGGCCGACAATAATCTCTCACAAGGCCCCAAGAGTAATCTTCCTCCTCCTCTTCCTCCTCCTCCTCCGCCTCCTCCTCCTCCGCCTCCTCCTCCTATGTCTCCTCCTCTCATCCACTTCTTCTTTCTCCCCCGCGTATTCCCGGAAGAATGTCCGCTACGGCTGGGGGAACACATGGTCCGATAGCTTGGCAGAGCTCTGGTCACAAAGTTCAGCCACATGGGCGATTCCAAACGGCAGGGGCGACGGTGATTCACCGTAGGAGTCTTCGATAAGTTCTTGTATGGACCCATGACGAGGGAACGTGAAGGGAGAGAGGGGAAGTTGATGCGTCCTTGGTTCACACTGGTCATCCTCCTCCTCCTCGTCCTCCTCTTCCTCATCCTCCTCCTCTTCCTCCTCTTCCTCCCCCTCCTCCTCCTCATCATCCTCCTTCTCCTCCTCCTCCTCCTCCTCCTCATCATCATCATCATCATCATCACCACCACCATCTTCATCATCATCATCATCATCATCATCATCATCATCATCATCATCATCATCATAAGCATAATCCTGGGTCTCGCGCCCCCACCAGCTCTCAGGGAGCGGCCCCGAGCGACGGTTCGGCGGATCCAATACCTGGGCACGACCACCCTTCGAGGCCAGCTCTCGTGCGCCCCCTGTGTGAGCATGCCAAGCTCCCTGGCCTGGATCTCTTCTTCATTGCCGTCGGAAAGTTCTGCGGCGGCGACCCCGGCGACACGCCGTGCCCTGCAAGCAGATAGCGTGCCGCTCCGCTCCGCGGGATGGGAGGCTAAGAAACGCTCGGGAAGTTGACGCCTGCGGACTGGGACGTGGTTAACGTGTGGCGCCGAAGCGTGGAGGGCCAGAACTGGCGGCGCGACGCGCGAAGCTAAAGAACCTGACCGTGAATTGCTTCAGCACTTCAGGCACGAAAAACTATCAGGGACGCCGCTGCCTCCCTCCCTCTTTCTCTCCTTCCTGCCTCCTCCCTCCACACGAGGGACAACGATAGGGGGGGACTGGCTCAGGGGGGGGGGGACATCGGCGCGGAATCAACGATACATCAACGATACATCGCCGATAGATCGGCGATAGGCCGCCGATACCGAATTCGCACGTTCCTGGGCGGGGTTGGGCGATCGGGCCCCCCTCGGCGACCAACGGGCGATGGGGGGCCGATGCGTCCCCCACTGAGCCTATCCGCCCCTGACGCTGCGCCTGACCACAGCCTGCTCCACGCGGTCGGCCGCGAGGCTGGAGCGACACCGCCGCACCGCGAGCGCCGTGGGCACGGGCGTGGCAGAGGACGCCGCTGCCTCCCTGCCTCCCCCCCCCCTTCCTCCTCCCTCCGCGGCCTGCTCCGCGTGATCGGCCGCGAGGCTGGAGCGAAACCGCCGCATCGCCAGCGCCGCGGCACGGGCGTGGTAGAGGTCGTGGGCCAGCGACACCGCGGACACGGCGCGCACGAGGCCGCTGCCGGCGCCGCCGGGGCCGCCGGAGCCTGGCGGGCGCGGCGGGCGCGGGCCGCCCTGGTCTCGCCGGCGTCCCCGCCAAAGAGTCGTCGTCGCCGCCCTCGTCGTCCTCCTCGTCGTCGTCGTCGTATATGATGATCTTGGTGACCATGACCAAGACTGAACGCGGAAACGTCGGTGCCGATACGGCCGATCGAGGTCATGGTCAACGTGCGTCTTGCCTCGACGGCCGCAGGCGCCCAGCGGCGTGAGGACAGCGAGCCCGAGGCCCTTCTGAACCTTAGGCCCCCCGGACAAGCCAGCCCTCGGGCCCAAAGCCCAGGGAGGGGGAGAGGGACTGGGGGTCTGGGTCTGGGCTGTTGCTGAGGCGATCGGCTTCAACCCGTCGCACAAGCAGACTGGGAGGGAGGGCTCCTGACCACTCGCCAAAAGCAGCCGCCAAAAGCAGCCAATATCCGGTTGTTCTTTTTGTTGGGGGGGAGGGGGGCGGGGCGCGCCGATCGGCGAAACAATAAATAAAAAAACGGCGGCTGGCCCAATGTGCGCTTGCCCCGCTCAGCTCCGCCGATGGCACGCAGCCTGCGCTGGGCCTCACAACACCGCCTGCGCCGTACTGAAAGGCTCCGCTGGACGAGGACACGCCTTGCGTTCGCACACTCTCTGTGAATCATCGCAGAGACCGGTTCGGGGAGGAGGAGGAGGAGGAGGAGGAGGAGGAGGAGGAGAAGGAGGGGGACCCATGTAAACCCAAGAGACATCAACGATGTTGAAAAAACTCACTCCAAGCTCCCTCTTCACAGGCCCCTACAACGGTTCATTTCCATTGAGAAAACTGCCTCTTTGGAAAACAACCGTTTGAAGACCCTGAAGCATGCCAAAACATTGTTCTCGGGTTTCCAACGCCACGGATCAACCTGACCGTTGCGTCTTGACAATCCTGAGCCGTGCCAGAACGCCGTTCCTGGGACTTCAACACAACGAAACAACATAACTGCTGCACCAGCATTATCCCGAATCCGTTCGAAAACCGTGTTCTGGCACGTGGATGATGGGAATCCGCGAAACTCTAAATATTGTAAACGAATGCGCGCGGCGCTAAGGCGAGAGCCAAATGTTGAAAAAGAACCGCCCTCGATCCGTGAAACTCTTGCAAATGTTGTAAGCGAATGCGCGCAGCGCTAAAGCGAGAACCACATGTTGAAAAGGAACCGCTCTCAATTCGTGATACTCTTGCACACTTTAAAATTATCCTGGCGAAAGACCCAACCATAAGCAATTGTTGGTAACGCGTTGTGGGTGCCGCTTTCGGTGGGGCTCCATATGGGGCCACGAAGCGCTGCCTTGGATGGGGGAACCGCATGCGGACTGCGCCACCGGGGCGGGCCTTCGGTGGAGCTCCCTATGGGGCTACGAAACGCTGCCCTGGGTGGGGGAACGCATGCGAACTGCGCCACTGGGGCCTTCGGTGGAGCTCCCTATGGTGCCACGAAACGCTGCCCTGGGTGGGGGAAGCGCATGCGAACTGCGCCACGGGGGCTTTCGGTGGAGCTCCCCATGGGGCCACGAAGCGCTGCCCTGGGTGGGGGAACCGCATGCGAGAGCAGCCACTGGGGCCTCCGGTGGAGCTCCCTATGGGGCCACGAAACGCTGCCCTGGGTGGGGGAACCGCATGCGAGAGCAGCCACTGGGGCCTTCGGTGGAGCTCCCTATGGGGCCACGAAGCGCTGCCCTGGGTGGGGGAACCGCATGCGAACACCCCCACTGGGGCCTTCGGTGGAGCTCCCTATGGGGCCACGAAACGCTGCCCTGGGTGGGGGAACCGCATGCGAACACCCCCACTGGGGCCTTCGGTGGAGCTCCCTATGGGGCTACGAAACGCTGCCCTGGGTGGGGGAACCGCATGCGAACACCCCCACTGGGGCCTTCGGTGGAGCTCCCTATGGGGCCACGAAACGCTGCCCTGGGTGGGGGAACCGCATGCGAACACCCCCACTGGGGCCTTCGGTGGAGCTCCCTATGGGGCTACGAAACGCTGCCCTGGGTGGGGGAACCGCATGCGAACACCCCCACTGGGGCCTTCGGTGGAGCTCCCTATGGGGCCACGAAACGCTGCCCTGGGTGGGGGAACCGCATGCGAACACCCCCACTGGGGCCTTCGGTGGAGCTCCCTATGGGGGGGCTACGAAACGCTGCCCTGGGTGGGGGAACCGCATGCGAACACCCCCACTGGGGCCTTCGGTGGAGCTCCCTATGGGGCCACGAAACGCTGCCCTGGGTGGGGGAACCGCATGCGAACACCCCCACTGGGGCCTTCGGTGGAGCTCCCTATGGGGCTACGAAACGCTGCCCTGGGTGGGGGAACCGCATGCGAACACCCCCACTGGGGCCTTCGGTGGAGCTCCCTATGGGGCTACGAAACGCTGCCCTGGGTGGGGGAACCGCATGCGAACACCCCCACTGGGGCCTTCGGTGGAGCTCCCTATGGGGCTACGAAACGCTGCCCTGGGTTGCGAACACCCCACGGTGGAGCTCCCTCCCTGGGGGAACCGCATGCGAACACCCCCAGCTCCCTATGGGGCCACGAAACGCTGCCCTGGGTGGGGGAACCGCATGCGAACACCCCCACTGGGGCCTTCGGTGGAGCTCCCTATGGGGCCACGAAACGCTGCCCTGGGTGGGGGAACCGCATGCGAACACCCCCACTGGGGCCTTCGGTGGAGCTCCCTATGGGGCTACGAAACGCTGCCCTGGGTGGGGGAACCGCATGCGAACACCCCCACTGGGGCCTTCGGTGGAGCTCCCTATGGGGCTACGAAACGCTGCCCTGGGTGGGGGAACCGCATGCGAACACCCCCACTGGGGCCTTCGGTGGAGCTCCCTATGGGGCCACGAAACGCTGCCCTGGGTGGGGGAACCGCATGCGAACACCCCCACTGGGGCCTTCGGTGGAGCTCCCTATGGGGCCTACGAAACGCTGCCCTGGGTGGGGGAACCGCATGCGAACACCCCCACTGGGGCCTTCGGTGGAGCTCCCTATGGGGCTACGAAACGCGTGAGAGGTGTGCCGAGAGCAGAGGCAAGGAGGGGGAGGAGGGAGGAGGAGGGGGAGGAAGGAGGGGAACGCGGGGCACCGTCTCTTCAAAACGAGGACCCAACACCACAGGATGGTTGGGAAAAACGGCCACACTGTGGCGAGAACCACATTTTGAAAACGACCCGCCCTCAATACGTGAAACTCTTTCAAATGTTTAAGACGAATGCGCACCGCGCTAAGGCGAGAGGCACATTTTGAAACTACCCGCCCTCAATCCGTGAAACGCTTGCAAATGTTGTAAACGAATGCGCGCCGCGCTGAAGCAAGAGCCACATTTTGAAAACGGCCCGCCCTCAATCCGGGAAGCTCTTGCACACGTTGCAAACGAATGTGCGTCGCGCGAAGGCGAGAGCCACATTTTGAAAACCACCTGCCCTCGATCCGTAGAGCGATTGTAAATGTTTAAAACGAATGTGCGCCGCGCGAAGGCGAGAACCACATTTTGAAAAACACCCGCCCTCAATCCGTAAAGCTGTTGAAACGATTAAAACGAATGTGCGCCGCGCGAAGGCGAGAGCCACATGTTGAAAACGACCCGCCCTCCATCTGTGAAGCTCTTGCCAGTGCTGAACCTTCAGCGTCATACGTGATGGGGAACTCTTTGGCGAAACGCCCGGAGAGACCTCGGGGTGCGACAAGGAGAGATCATTTATAAGGAAAAATATGGAGAAGAAGGAGAAGGAGGAGGAGGAGGGGGAGGAGGAGGAGGAGGAGGGAAGAGGGGGGGAAGGAGGAGGATGAGGAGGAGGAGGAGGAAGAGGAGGAGGAAGAGGAGGAGGAGGGGGGAAGAGGAGGAGGAGGAGGAGCAGGAGGAGGGAGGAGGTGGAGGCACCTGACCTCGGCAACCCGCATCGCCGCCAAACCCTGCGCTGCCCCGCGGACGGCCGCGGCCACGAGCGTCGCGAGCCCCTTGCCCGAGATGCCCATGCCAATCGCCGCCGCCGTGGCGCCGAACGCGGCCGCCACCGCAGGGCAACCCGCCAGCGCACCCGCCAGCGCCGACTCCATCGCTCGCCTCACGCGAGGCGCACGGCCCGAGGACGGCCCGCCGCGGCCAAGCTCAGCACAATGGCTTGAGCCAAAATGGCTACGGAGGAGGAGGAGGAGGGAGGAGGAGAAGGCGGAGGAGGAGGAGGGGTGGGAAGCTGGCCTCCGGGGGATGGGTCCAAAGGTCCAGGGGCCTGGAACTTGAGAGTATCAGGCCGTCGGAGGTCTGGGCCCGGCTGGCTCTATGCCCCCCCCCGGCCTTCGACCCTCGCGGAAGCCGGCGGCGGCGGGTCCCTCACCGCAAGCTGCATGCGGCCGCGCGGAAATGCTGGCCGAGGGCATCCGGAAGACAGGCCCGATCCTCACCCCTCCCCTCCTCGCTCGTGTCCGCTTCAACCCCTCCCGGCTTCCCTGCAATCCCCTCCCCTTCGACCGCTCTCCTCCCCCGCCCTCCCCTCCCGTGTCCTTGCCTCGTCTAACCCTGCCCCCTCTCCGCTCCTCCCCTTCCTCCTGTCCCCCCTCTTCCCCCCTCCCCTCGCCTTCTCCCGTCTCCACCCCTGTGTGAGCAGGATCGTGCACAATTTGACAACTCTCTGTCACTCTCTGTCATGGGAATTGCCTGCCAGACAGACAGACAGACAGACTGCAGGCAGCCTGACGCTGAACAGCGTATAGGCAGAAAAAAGCGGCACAGCGTACGACACGGGCGCCGAATTCGGCAGCACTTGCCCCTGCCCTGCCCGTCGCCCCCCCCCCATCCCCCTCCCCTCGCCTGCCCTCCACTGCCCTCACGCCGCCGCGGCCGCCGCCGACGACGACGACGTCGACGACGACGACGACGATGACGACGACGAAGACGACGATAACGACGACGTCGACGACGACAACAACGACGACGACGACCACGACGACCACGACGACCACGACGACCACGACGACCACGACGACGGCAGCGGCGGCGGCGACGACGACGAGCCGACGACCACGACGTCGTCGCTGGCACCAACGACGACGAGGCCACCGCCGAAGACGGCGACGGCGAGCCCCGGCGGCCGGAAGGCCTTGTAGGCCGCGGGCGGGCGCCGCCGAGGCCGCCGACGACGACGACGAGCTCGTGCTCGGCCAGCTGCGCGCGCTGCGCGGCGGGCGCTCGGGCAAAGCTACGCGTCGTCGCCGTCGCCGGCGGCGGTGTCAGCGTCGGACTCCTCCTCCTCATCCTCCTCCTCCTCATTCTCCTCCTCATCCTCCTCCTACTCCTCCTCCTCCTCCTCCTCCTCATCCTCCTCCTCCTCCTCCCTCCTCCTCCCGCTCCATTCATATTCCTTATAAATAATCCTCCTCCTCCTCCTCCTCCCCCTCCTCCTCCTCCCTCCTCCTCCTCCTCCTCCCTCCCTCATCCTCCTCCTCCTCCTCCTCCTCCTCATCCTCCTCCTCCTCGTCCTCCTCCCCCTCCTCCTCCTCATCATCATCATCATCCTCCTACTCCTACTCCTCTTTCCTATTCCTTATGAACAACTCCTCCCTGCCGCACCCCTAGGCCAGTCGCAAGGGCGGGCCGAGCGCTTCGCCTGAGAATTCCTTATCATTCATGATCCTGAAGCTGAGAAATTGGCAATCATTTCAAAAACGGAGGGCGGGTGGACTTCAAAATGTGGCTCTCGCCCTAGCGCCACGCACATTCGCGAGCCGTTGTCAAAATGAGCCAGGGTTTTACGGATTGAGGGCGACCGGTGTTCAAAATGTGTCTCTCGCCTTGGCGCCGCGCATATTCGTCTTACAAAATTTCACAACTTTCACGGATTGAGAGCGGCTCTTGTTCAAAATACTGTTCTCGCCTATCGCGGCACACATTCATTTTAAACATGTGCAAGAGTTTGAATTCAAGGATACCCACAGTTAAAGTACCAGACGGAACGATTCAGGATTGTCAGGGCGCGACAGTTACGTTGATTCGTGGTGTGGAAGCCCCAGGACCGGTTTCTGGTCCGATTCAGGACCGTCAAGACGCAGCAGACAAGTTGATTTGCGACGTTGAAGTCCCGCTTCAGGGTCTTCAAACGGTTGTCCCCCAACGGGGCACTTCCCTAGCGGAAATGAATCCTTGTATGGGCCTATGAAGAGGGAGCTTGGAGGGGGGGGTAATACAACATCGTTAATGAGTCTTGGGTTTACACTGGTCCTCCTCCTCTTCCTCCTCCTCCGCCTCCACCTCCTCCTGTCCTCGTCATCCTCCTGTCCCTCCGCTTCCTCCTCCTCCTCCTCTTCCTGCGCCTCCTCCTCCGCCTCCTCCTCCTCAGCATCATCATCAGCAGCATCAGCATCATCAGCATCATCATAGGCAGCACCAGCAGCGTCACCATCATCAGCATCATCAGCATGACCAGCATCACCATCATGATCACCTGCAGCAGCAGCAACAGCAGCATCAGCACCATCATCAGCCCCATCATCAGCATCATCAGCAGCAGCATCCTCAGCATCAGCATCATGATCATCAGCAGCAGCAGCATCCTCATCAGCATCAGCAGCATCATCCTGATCATCCTCATTATCATCCTCACCACCATCATCATCATCATCGTCATCATCAGCATCATCATCATCAAAATCATCATCAGCATCATCATCATCAGCAGCATCATAATCATCGTCATCATCATTATCCTCGGAGTCCTCCTCCTCCTCCTCCCTCCTCCTCCTCCTACTCCTCCTCATCATCATCATCATCATCATCATCATAATCATAATCAGAATCATAATCCTCATCGTCATCATCATCATCATCATCAGCATCATCATCATCAGCAGCAGAAGCAGCAGCATCAGCATCAGCATCAGCATCAGCATCAGCATCATCATCTTCATCCTCATCCTCATCCTCATCCTCATCCTCGTCCGCATCCTCCTCCTGCTTCTCCCTCATCCTTCTGTGCTCGTCCTCTTCCTGCCCTTCCGCCCCCCTCCCCCTCCTCCTCCTCCTCCTCCTCCTTCTCCTCCTGCTCCCCCTCCTCGTCCTCCTCCTGCTGCTCCTCATCCTCCTCCTCCTCCTCCTCCTCTCCTCCTCATCATCATCATCATCATCGTCGACGTCGTCGTCGTCGTCGTCGTCATCATCATCATCATCATCATCATCATCATCATCATCATCATCATCATCATCATCATCATCATCATCATCATCATCATCATCATCATCTTCCTCCTCCTCCTCATCATCATCATCATCATCATCATCATCATCATCATCATCTTTCTCCTCCTCCTCCTCCTCATCCTCCTCCTCGTCCTCCTCCTCCTCCTGCTCATCCTCCTCCTCCTCTCCCTGCCCCTCCGTCTTCTGCTGCCCCTGGTGTCTCCCCATGCCAGGAAGCAAGCAATTCTCATCGGATAGGCGCCCCCTCTCCCCCCGGACCGCCCCTCCATGAGTAGAGAACCTCCTCCTCCCCCTCCATTGCTTGTCCTTATCAACAACTTCTCCCCGACGCACCCCGAGGCCAGTCGAAAAGGCAGGCCAGACGTTTTGCCTTGCAATTCCTCACCAGTTATGATCCTGAAGCTTCAACGTTTCACAAATAGAGGGCGGGTGGATTTCAAAATGTGGTTCTCTCCTTCGCGCCACGCACATTCATGCGAATAAATTGCAAGAGTTTCGCATATTAAGGGCAGGCCGTTTTCAAAATGTGGCTCTCGTCTTACCACCGCGCACACTCGTTTGACTACATTGCAAGCGCTTCACGGACTTCAAAATATGGCTCTCGTCTAAGCGCCGCGCATGTTTGTGTTAAAAAATTGCAAGAGCTTCACGGATTGAGGGCAGGCCGTTTTCAAAATGTGGCTCTCGCCTTAGCGCCGCGCACATTCGTCTATAAAGCTTGCACGGGTTTCACGGACTGAGGGCGGTTCCTTTTCAAAATGCGGTTCTCGCATTAACGTCGCACACATCCGTTTTCAAAACTGAAAGAGTTTCAAGGATTCGCATGACATCGCGTTTCGGAAGAATTCAAGATTGCCGAGGCGCAACAGTAACGTTGACTAGCGGTGTTGAAGTCCCAGGAATGGACTTCTGGCACGATTCAGGATCGTGACGCCGCAACACTTAGGTTGATTCGTGGCGCTGGAGTCCCGAGAACGGTGTCATGGCACGCTTCAGGATCTATACACGGTTGTCTCCCAACGGGGTACTTCCATCAGTGAAAATGAACCCTTGTAGGGGCCTATGAAAAGGGAGCAGGGTTGATTACAACATCGTTGATCAGTCTTGGGTTTAAACTTGTCCTCCTCCTCCTCCTCTTCCTCCTCCTCCTCTTCCTCCTCCTCCTCGTACTTCTCCCTCCTCCTCCTTCTCCTCCCTCCTCCCCCTCCCCAGAAAGCCCCCAGAAAGCCCCTAGAGAACCTCACATGCTCCCGGCAACCCTAGGAGAGCCCCAGTGAGCCTGCAAGAGGCTCGCAGAGGTCCCGATGCTGACCGTGGTTTGGGGCTGCCCAGGATAACCCCAACTTTGATTTGACCATCCAGCGCGAGCTCAGGGAATGCCTTATTGTTTTTGACTCGGGGGTCTGCTCGGACGGATCGCGAGATTCAGTCTGAAGCTGCCCGCCTCTTAGTGTCATGGTCACATCTCGTTGGGTATTATTGCTCTTACGCATGTTCGTTAATAAATTCGAGGGCTTCGATAAGTTCATGTTGGTAGCGGAGCCTGGCTAGCCAGGCAGGCTCACGCTTTGCCCCTCCATACAGAGCCGTCGACTTCTACGCGAAGTTCGCCGAGATCTCGAAGATAGACTTCGGAGCGGTTTCAACTCCCAACGGAGACCTAAGCGTCAGCTTCGACAACGCCAGCGACCACCACAGCATCAGCACGGACAGCGACAGACCAGACCACTCGGATCTCTTCCACAGCGCCAGCACCGACAAAATGACGAATACGAGGAATTCCACAGTTCGACGGCACTCTAGCGAAAGGGAAGAAGTACGAGAAGAGAGCGTTGATATCCATCGCGAAGCCAGCCCTGGAGAAGAAGGCGGGCGAAGCAGGTCTTATGCTCAATGCACGTCTCGCCGCCGATGCACGGGACGAAGTGGAGGAACTCGCGGCAGACGACCTGCTCGAGCCCGACGCGGCCAAGAATCCGATGGCGAGGCTGCGCCAGCGATTCAAGACGGACGACCGGACCGAGCTGGCAGACGACCTCGAGGAATACTTCTACAAGCTGCCGAATCGGCACAAGGGCCAGACGCTCCTCGCCTACACTTCACCAGTTCGAGCAGCAGTGCGGAAGCTCAAGACGCACAACGTCGGGCTGGCAGCGAAGGTTCGAGGTTGGCTGACCATACGACGTGGAGGTTATAGCTCAGATCATGCAGCAGTCAGCATGGCGATCGTGGGCAACGACATCACTCAGTGCGAAATCATTCAGGCGCTCGAGACGACCTTCGGGCAAGAGAGAACGATACACGAGCCGAATCACACACGAAGACAATACTACGTCGACGAAGATTGGGACTACTACGAGGAAGAGCTCCACACCGGCGACGCCGACGAGGACGAGGATTACGAGCAGGAAGGAGTACTGGGCCGAGGACGACGACACCTGGTAAGACTGCGACGAGATCAGCGACCACCGCGACACGGTGACCGCTCAGGAGCTCCACCCTGGAGAGTTCGACGAGGTCTACAGGGCCTACCACGACGCGAGGAAGCGCTCCAACGGCCTGAAGCTGTCGAGAGGGTTCGCCGCCGCCGCCGCCGCCGCCGTCGGCGTCGGCGTCGTCGTCCTTGTCGTCGTCGCTGGCTTCACCTGACCTCCGCGGTCGCGCCCGCGCCCGCGCGCGTAGCTCGCGCGCGTGCGTCCAGCGCGACGGGCCCGGGCTGACGCCGCAGCAGATCGGCCGCCGCCGCCGCCACGAGCGGCCGGCGAGCGGCAGCGCGCCCGCCCCGTCGTCGCAGTGGTCAACCGAGGGTGCGGCGTAAGCGCGCCGGCGCCGTCGGGCCGAGGGCGCTCGACGAGCAAAGGATCGAGAGGACGCGGCAGGTCCAGAAGAAGGAAAGGCAGTCCGGGTGGACGCAAAGGCGAATCCTCCCCCTCCTCCTCCTCCTCCTCCTCCTCCTCCTCCTCCTCCTCCTCCCCCTGCTC